AGAGATTTCATCAACACAACTTTACTTTACATTTTTCATTTGACCCTCAGTGTCTAACAATTATTGTCTGCATCTCTTCTATCATCTTTAGCTTCACTGGAAAACCTTACTTCATTTTTTAATACAAGCCATGCACCGATCTGGAATTACACAACATCAAGAAACTTCCATATTAGTTGTATCACTCACACAATGGATCGCATTTGCTGATATAACCCCAACCGACGCAGTTACTTGGAGCCCAACCCCAAAAGTGAAAATCCGACTACGGCAAAAGCAAGTAACATATTTTTCATTCTAGAGTGCTAATTCATCCGACCAAGTCAACATCATGCCTTAGATGGTAAAACTTGGCAATGTAAATGAATATTTGTGTATCAACACATTAGACAATTGTCACCTTACACCCTCAAGGTAAAGCTTGCATACAGGCAAGGCCGGGCTAAGCCACGTTAACGACCTTTAAATATAAGAATCTCGTCTCACTCAAATAATCGGATCACTTTAGACCTCACCCATATGATGAATGCTGTCAAGTCCGACTATCTAGAGAACTCTATTATCACGTCCCGAAGTGTAAATCTCTCCTCAGTCTCAGCCTCAGCCTAGGTTTCACCCGCCCGAGCTCTTGACATCTCCCGATTCTCAGACTTTTCCTGTCAGTTTAGCCGCAGTGGTACCTCGTCTCACCATCTCTGCTTCTTATCCGGTTATTTTTTTCATTAGAAGCCTCATCTAACTGTCTACCGAGGGCTCCATTTTCCTTCCCACCTTGTCCTCTATTGAAGCAATTCCTTAACACTTCCACTAATAACTTCAGATCAGAAACTCTGATAAATATTCATGCTTCCAGCCCTGTCCCGTCGCCACTGAACCCTAGTCCAGGAGACTATATATAAGCTGATAAGCTACAGATCGATAAAAGAATGGCACAGCCTTGGTAGTGTTCTCTGGTTGATGTAATAGCGAAATTTCATACGTGTATCATCACGGGTAAGTTTTTGATGCCCTTGGCTGAATTATAGACGCTTTCAAGTTCAGTACTGCAATCGTACATTGACAGTACACGACAGTAACAGATAGATGGATATCTTGCATCTTAGACCCTGCTTCTAGCTTCCACACTTTGGAATTCTTTAGTAGGTAGTTAAATAATTTCGGGAAATATTGCAGGATGAGTTTAATTGAGAAAAATCATCTCGTAAAAGTTAAAATAGTTTGGGGTGTCTTTCTTCTAAATACAAACATCAGATGAGATCAAACCAGTCTATGTTTCATATTTGGAGTATATATGATTGATTTCATTGGTATTTGCAGTTGTCAAATCTCTGCAGGTCAGATTTTCGACCAAAAGCTTGCCAGCGCCTTCCGTCCCGACAGCAATCTCGATGAAAGTTCTCAAATAAACTCCTTATCGTGATGGAGTCTCAGCTCTGTGAAATATTTCACTCCTAGGTTCTTAGAAAAGACCGCTAAAAGGCGTTCAAACATCGTCATCCTCTGGACATGATTATCTTTCAGCAACGGCTGTCAGAATACGTTATTTGTTAATTGTCGATATGTAGCTCATAATATTCGGACATGTCAATATCATGTGCTGGCGTAGGGCGCTAGCCGAGCCCCTTTGGTAGTTTAGAGCCTGTATCTTTGAGGAGAGAAATGTAGACAGATTTACATTAATTATTTTTAAGCACTTCAAGTCATTAAACCATGTGAGCTCCGTAGTACCGACATTCATAAATTTTTAGTTTTTATTATACTACCTGCGCCAAAGGCTACCTAGCACATAGGGCTACTCTCTAACCCAGGCCACACCTGGTACAATGATCATATCCTCTTTTGTAACTCGAAAGATCTCTGGTTTGTTGGCCGTGATGGACAGCCATCTTTTCGTTGGAATCGATTGCCAAAATTCGAAATTTCACGCCCTTCGAGGTTATATTCTTCCTTTGCATCATCTTGTCAACTTGTCCTGATCCCTCTCACGTCCACCCCAAAGAACAGTCTCCCAGATTTGTGCGCCACGCTTTGCTTTCTCTTGCGGATATAAATATCGGCGTAGACGTGTATTGGTGACCAGCTGAGGCCACAGAAAGTCGAAGGGAGGTGTGGTCATTGGGATGAGGATATACTTGGTTGTACTTGTAGATCTGATGATACGTAGGTAGGAGTCAAATTCGTTGGGTGCGAAAAATTGACGTGGTGGAGTATTTTGAATTATTGCCTCGTGAGCCAACTTCTTTGATATTGCGAAATTTGACTGAAATTAGTTTCATGAGAATAGCTCTACCTTGGGCTCGTATAGGAAATTGTAGATATATATTCAGTTCAGCCTCCGCGAAAAGGGATAAGTGACGGTGCTCCATACCAGGCTGTCTTTTTCATATCCTAATTCAAGATTATCGTGATATTTGCGAGAGAGGTTCAGAGTAGGTGTATGTCTAGATCCAGAGGATTCTCCCAACATCTCCACAAGGCGTATGGCATATCTTGATAGCTAGATACACACTAAGTGGTTTCAAAGAAATCTGGCATGTCTAATACTCGGCAAGCCAGTAGAGAGGAGTTCTTCACCTTCCAGCGGTGCCGATGTAAGCGCTCGACATGCTCTGTTTACCTTGGAAACCCTAGAAGAACCACAAACGAAATGAAGTCGATAGCAACTCTATTGACGGCTTCTCATCATTACCGCCACTAGTATTCTCACGAGTACTCCGACTCAATCCGACCACATACCATCTCGCCTTATCGAACGATCAAAAAGTTGCTTCAGTTGCAAATGAGAGCTAGCCCTATTAACTAATATTGTGATTAAGAGAAGAGGAGTTGCATACAAACAGTGGCTTTTTCAATATGATGTGGACGATGATATATGTTCACTATATTAGGCTCGTTCCCCTATGATTGATATCTATATGGAGGAGAATACTCCTAGTTATACCTAAAGCTCATCTTTCTAATTGCTAATAGAACATCCCATCTTGTGATGTAAGATATTCTATCATACACTGTAGAATAGTTTACATTCTTGTTCAAACCGTCCACATGCAACTGTCTATGGTATCACTTCACCAACCACATCTTGTATAGATCTCTATATCTAATACAGCTTGTCTACTTGGCTGAGTGATTTCACATTATGACAACTACCAGCTATTGAAGGGTGGTGATGTATATGGTTGTATACACTTGGTATCTTCATTAAATGGTTATGACTACTCAGGGGGCTTAGAATATACTTGGGTGATCATGGCAATAAATGTTACAGGTTATCTACACGATAATTAAACAATCCCACATACTTCCAGATAGCGCCGTTTCTAGTCTCTTTTAGGAGTGGTCTACGGGTGAGTGTAGCGATCGGTGGTGTCTCATTTATCGCTAACCTCATTCCATTTCCCTGGCTCTGCGTGCTACACTACGTGAATGGCGATTTATTACTAATGTGAAAAGCGCATTCATGACACCAGCCATCTCCCACTACAAATTACGACACTGAGTACGACTGCAAGCAGGAGCATAAGTTGTAAGATATAGAGCTCAGGTCATGGATTGTGTGGGGCTGTTGCTCTGATGGAACAACACCTGTTGATGAAGGGCACTGTTGGGCATTAACAAACCAATGCTTCGGGGTCGGTTTACGGCTTTAAAATGTTTGTGGGCGCTAAGACTGAGAATTCGGCTATTTAGGCAAGAGGATCTTAATTGTCGATGGGTCTACACGATCCCCCAGTACCCTAGACAGCACAAAAGAAGTTAGACCAAGCTACTACACAGCGATCACGCTCGGTCAAGACTGTTCAGACATTTCAGCACGATCTTCGGGAAGGAGTTGGAAGAAGCTTCGAAAGGTAGATTGTGAATTTCCCGAGGTATACACATGTCTGCAGCGCCCAGCTGGCCAGCCTCTTCGAATGCTTCAGAGGGGTCACTGTGTCTTTGGACCTAGTCCTAATGTCGGTATTAGAAGAACCCTGCACCCAGTGGTTTTTGCGAAATTTTAAGGCTGCCATACGCCCGCAAATGGCTATCGTTTCGTTAGCTGGAGAGGGGAGATATTGAAGGGCAAAGAGCTCCTCTAAGTGTATGATCAAATAAGGACTTGTGATGGGATTTAGTGGTAGTATAGGTATCCCTGGCCTGTAGTCAGAAGCAAGAGGTGATACATGGTATTCGATTGAAGAGAATAAAAGAGAAAACTAAGCAGAAAACCTTATCCCCTTCAGAAGTAGTGCATCTTTGCCCGCACTCAGTCTTTCCACTTGTTCTGCTACAGCCGCAAATTTGCCTCACTGTGCCTATGCGACGGCATTTTGCTCGTCTAGCGGCATGCGAAGTGTCGTGAGCGAGGCTGAGAGAACCCGGAGTTCCGAGACCACTGCCAGTGCAGCCCTAGCACTGACGAATCAGGACGCTGTCTACTGGGCGGCCCCTGCTTTTGATGCGGCTGGCTCGATTGTGGAGAAGATTTTTTCAGCGGAATCTTCGACCACTTCAGGTCCGGGGTGTTGGTGTGCCCCTGACCACCCAACTGGCCGTCAGATTCAGTAACAGCTTAGTTCCAAGGCTTCATCACACGCCAACAATACTGCAGCACTGGTTTGGCGTCTGCCTGTCAGTCGCTCTGCTGGCCGTGGCGTCTGAACGGCTCATAAAACAAGCAGAGACCCAATAAACCGGGTCTAAAGTGCCGAGGATGATGAGAACTTTGGTCAAGTCACCAACAGCTCACCCCGGACAAATCTGCCCTTTCGTTTTCTCGGCGCGACGACGCGTAGGGCCCGGAGACTGGGTATAAATCTTCTGCTCATCCCCCCTCCATTGCCTGTTGAAAATTCTTTAGAACGGTGGCCAACCCAAGCCAAGCCAAACCCATCACCATCTCCGTCCGACCTGCATTCAATTGGTCCTCTGCAAACGTACAACCATCTCGAGGGCCATAAATTCGCTGTGACCGACTTTTCGGCTATCCTCACCTAGCATTGCCAGCCTCTCTCACCATGGTCTACAAGATGAACATTTACGCCGACGGCACCTGTCGTGGTAATGGCAAACCTGGCTCCACTGCCGCTGCCGCTGCTGTCTTCCAACTTCTTCACGGTCGCCAAACCAGCTACACCTGTCTTCTGCCCAAATATCCAAACCCAACTAACCAGAGGGCCGAGTTAACTGGCATGATTATTGCTCTTGAAGAGGCCATTGAGCGCCACCGGAACCTACGGAAAGCTCCCATGCTCAGCGTTCGGATATTCACAGATTCCAAATATGTCATTGGTTGTCTAAACGAGTGGCTACAAAAATGGAGGCTGAACGGCTGGACGAACGCAGCTGGTCGCATGGTGGCGAACCGAGACCTCATTGAAAAGGCGAGTAATTTGGTCGACGAATTAAACAAGGTCGGAACCGTCGAGTACGTGTGGATACCGCGCGAGGAAAACTTTGAGGCACGTGAGGCGTGCAATGAAGTTTTGGACGAGGCAAACTATATCTAGCCCTATCACTAATCGGCAAAGTCGCCACACTCAAGGTATGTCCAATTGCTTTGGCGCCTCTCTTTCGTTCCGCTCGCCAATTTCCCCTTACACCCCTCCACACATTCGCTAAGTATTGGCAGTACACTCCTGACTGCAAATCCTCTACGCCCTGGTACTTGATTAGAAAGCTCCCGAAATTCCGTGCCACGCTCCTCTTCAACACTGCACCATCTACGAGGTCGCACCCCTTCGCTCAGCCTAAAAGTCGCTCCACCGTATTTCTCGTCCGACACATTGATTTCAGATAGCCTACACGCAGAGTGTGCTTTGTAGTTTAGTGCTTTGCCTCGACAAGAGCCGCCCTCATAAACTGCCGCAGAGAACATGTCTGTTGTAGCCTCGACACGCCTGGACCCGAGGTTCATTTAGCTCTCTTCGCTCATCTATGATTTCCAGAAAATCACCCGTTTGTAAGGGTATGGAAGACCAGAAATTGGAGGTTCTGAGAGATCTAACGCTTGCATATTTACCTGTGTCAAGACGTCTAGCTATCCGATTGCGACTGAATTCTCTCAACTTTATCCCAAGACGCGCGAGATGATGGAGTCCCGAAAACCCACGGCCAACGCCATGTCCTAGCATCAAACATACCACCACCCATAGGTAAAGTGGGGGCTCGGCTCCGTAAAGCTTTAGACTTTAAATAGCGAACCCCCCCTGTTCCCTTTACGGATTAAAGAAATTCATCTCTAGTATCTTCAACGGGTGAATAGCCAAACAGTCGTCTTGCAGAAAGCTCGAGCTAAAAATACCCTGTCAATCCTCCCTTCTATTCAATCTTCCTATGGCACCAATTGCATTGTCTTATAATAATTCCTGTATTTCCGCCTTATTCGCATCCAGATCTCGTGCCAAAGACCAGCTCAGTACACGAATCCATGGTACCTAGAAAAAATCTCCTGACGCCTTCACTTGTCTGATTCTGGAGCTCTTCGTCCGATCCACTAGTTGAGTCCCCACTCCCGAGGCAACAGAATGAGTTAGAGTGCATTCTTTCCTAATACGAAGAGAAATACAAGGACACGTCCGCAAGCTTTTACTGACCTCAATGCTTTTTCCGAAAACTAATGGTTAATTCTCGCAAGTGCGTATCGTTAAATGACTCCATGAACTCGATATCTCCCATTGTTCCCCTAGCACAAGCCAAAAAATATGCCTCAAGCAATGGCATACTATGGCTTTCAATCTGTACCTGGCGTACGAATGAACTGGTATAAGAGCAATCTACATGCAACTAGAAATGTTCCAGTATTTCTCGATGATCGGAAACCTCGTCTCGTGGCTCTGTTGGAATTTGCACCAACGCACGAGATGAAGGATGAGGGATACAGCAGGCAGATAATCTACGAGGGCAACGAAACCTCATAGACGCCAGTATGAGAACTTAACCAAGACATAGGGAGGATACAGGGTCAGACGAAGGGTGGTATCGCAGGCTTCTAAATTGCAGTCTAGAGCCTAAACCGAAGCCAAGCTAGACATGTTGCCCGACGGAGAGGCGAGGATTTCAAGCCACTATTCGTGGGCTGGCGGACAAAACTTGTGGTGTTTGTGGGGAGTCGGGCGTTCTTTCTAGAGAATCAATAATCATCACCTCTTCTAATTCCCCATCCAGACCGTCTCATGCCACTCCCTTACCGTAGATCCCTGTGCCGTACCAGATGCCGCGACAAATTTAGATATTTACTCAAATATCATCCGATGCCAATACGAGTGCCGATGTTGAAAGCCCGGAGCACAGAGCATAACTGGGGGGCTCTGGCGATAGAATGATAGGGGAAATCGCAGATCAGTAGCTTCTATTGAGGAAAAAGTGACGCCCGAGTCATTGAGGATGTTGAGCACATTCAAATAGCCACCGAGGTGAAAGCAAGTACAGTTTTTGTAGCTACAAATGTGTCAACAACGTCGCCCACCTGATAGTCCCAATTATTCCAACTTCCAAGATCTTCAGGACACACTTGCATCGGTAGTCGGTATCCCGATGCAGCCAATTTCGACCATGGGCAATACCGACCATCCAGTGTAGCGATTGGAAATAGCGTATACGCCGTGCTGGCGCGGCTTGCTGTAGACCATGAAAGATCAGGTCCAAGCTACCAGTATGCATGGTTGTCGACCTATTGAATCCATGACTAGACTAGGACATGTAAGTCGTTTCTGCCTACAAGTCTTTGCCACTCATGCCTGCCCTCTCCGACCAACAGAGAGAAGGCCACTGGGTGCCGGACTCTCCTGGACCTGAAATCAGGACGAAGCCCAGACATGGCTCCCAATCTGAGGCGTTCCAAGGGCCCGGCGGACCGGACGCTGCATAGTCATGTGTGCCACAGGCCGCGTTATCTGCTAAAGTGCCCGCCTCACTTCCTCCCGCAAGTATGCCTGGGAAAGCGTCAGGAGACGTACCAAAATATCGGGCCAGCCGCGAAGGAGTGAGCATGCTGCACAGAGGGCTAGCTCTATGCCTAGTGGTCTCCTTGATTCATGGATAATTAAAGGCCCACACAATCGAGTCTGCCGACTCTGCGGTGCGGGATGGGGACTGGCACAGGTGATGTGGTCAAGAGAGCGAGTCTGCCACCAACAAGGCCCCTCTGCTAGCTCCAGCATCCACTTGACAAGTTGTCGTGCGAAACTTCGGCTTTTTGACCGCTGAAATGCCTCTTCTCGCGATGAAGTCGACGCTGTGTGCGTAGGCCTGGGCCCGTCTGTCCACCATACGCTGATTAGGCCAACGTTTGGGGAGATTGCAGTTAAAGCTAAGGCGGACTCTAGGTTATATGGCGGCGCCTTATAGTCCCATATACAGTAATGAAGATTCTTCTGAACTCTTCCAACCCTATGCACAGTTTGCTCTACAACCTCTATGAACCCAGATTTGTCGTGTAAAAGTGTGGAGTTTTTGTGGACAGCCGCAGTCATTGCGCATAGTAGTAATTGATGCCTGTCCGTGTGACGAGCGATGCGGACACGTTCATTTATGTAGGAATACTCTCGCATACAGTACCCTAATCTGCTTGGAGTAAACTTAACCCTGAAACTGATCAGGAGGGAGCTTTGGATTTATCATGAATTAGTCATAGAAGGAAAGGTGGTTTGAGCTGAGATGGAAAACTATTCTGGTGTGGAGTTCCTTTGAAGAGGAGTCAGTGGATGGAGGTGGTTGCGATATATATACTTAATATAATATATTTGTTAATTCGCCCCAAAGAAAATCTACAGTAGCTGTCGCTCTAAGATTGTGGAACAACGATTTATGATACAGGTGAGACTTGATATTAGAGGGTCATCTTTTTCCTTCCATCGCGTATTTGTTAGATATTTTTGATGCACCAGATCGGCATAAGGCGTCTAGTTGTAGCCCAAGATTTAGTCGTAGTTTCGGACCAGTACTGGTATGCAAGGGAGTGTAGCTGACACTATAAACACAAGCGAACGATGGAAGGTGCCGTGGTCCGCCTCCTGGTGATGTTATCTGGTTTAGTTTGAGTAGCCTGGGCACCTACTCCACTTGGGAAGGAGACATCTCAGATTACATTTCGCGCGGAGAAAAGTTGCTGGAGGCATGTCTGGATAACTCAGGGTTTTTGAGATGTTCCCCTCAGTGGGTATTCACGGATGAGGGTTGACTTGGGGAGAAGAAAAAGCCACCATAACTTCGCAGTAGTACTTGCAAATGAAATCTGAGGCATGAGTGCTCCTCTTGTAAATTGAGTCATTTTTTCTGTACTTTTCTTTGATATTGTGTTATAGCTAGATAGCTGCATACAAAATTAAAATCTGATGCAAAAAAAATGATATGCAAGGAGAGCAGGTCAACAGGCAGTTGATGGTGATGCTCGCGAACTAGAAAGGGAGGACTCCTTTGCATTAACTTACTCCATAAATAATTTGCGCTAGGCTTACTTCCTTTTACATACTCTAACCCTAATCTTTTGATGGAACCATCAACCATACTTGGTTCATATTTATTTGCTTGATAATGTTAACTTGATGAACTAATTGGGACTAAATACACACGATTCCCGACTTCGAGGCGGAGGTGTCCATATAGAAACCAACAATGTAGGCAAAATGGATGCCAAAATATATTTACTGAATTATCATCTCAAAACATCGTTAAAATCCACAGTAATACGCCACATACACGGATATTGAAGAACAATCATTAGTCATAAGCGTCACCCATGTTTCACTCCCAACACCTTCATAATTTCTAATGTCCAAAATAAAGGTTTTAGAACCCCAGACTCAAAAGTAACGAGATTTGAGTTAATAATTCCGCTTGTGAATAATTCGGTGCCAGTGGACAAGAATTTTTGAAAGCCAAGGATTACATTGATCCAGTTTTCATAAGTTCCGTCTGTTGGCTGTGTACATCTTCTTTTAATTGCTCAACCAATGCATCAAGATTTTGGTCAACAAGAGAAACGTCGGAGCCAAGCGATTTAATGAGAACCCTTCGATATAATTCACTCTTTTCACCTGCGCCCGCCATACTGTGAGCGTCAATATATGATTGGACAAGTTTTTGCCGCCTTTTTTGTTGCTCGTCTAGTTGCTTGGCTAGCTTAACACGCTCGTCAAAATCATCTGCACGTGATTCTTCAGTGGATATATTTGCTTCCTTTTGTTGAGAAAGATTAAACAGCTGAATACTCTGTTGTCGCTCGACTACACATGCTAAAGTTCTCTGAAATTCGTTAAGCTTCTCTAGACTATGCACCTTGGCATAAGAATCCTCTTGCATTCCATTGATATCGTCGAGCTGTTGGCCCAGAGCTTCACTCTCAGTAGTGGTCGCACTCAAAATACGCCTGGCTTCGCGCTCAGAACTTTCTTTGTCTTCTAGCTCCTCGTCAAAGGCGGCAGCGAGCGAGAAGATTCTCTCTTGAAGTTGGGGTGCAATTTTTGACTGTATAGACATGGCTGCTTCAGAGGCGTGGTGTATTACTCTGGGCGGTTCATCAGGAATTATCCTTCCAAATCGAACATCTTTTACGTAACCATAAGGAGATGATGAGGCTCGAGCTCGACGATCTTCTCTTCGCACCTCATTGAGTTCTCTAATTAGGTCCTCGGCAGTCATTCCCTCATTGTTTTTAATATTTGTCAGAGCATTTCGGCCAATAAGAGCACGGATACACTTACGCGCACCGTGTTTAGCTGCGATGTGTAGCGCTGTATTTCCCTCAACATCTTGGGAATTTATGATTGTAGAAGAAAATTGAGGATTATAAACTTCTTGCACCATATTGAGAATAACATCTAGATAGTAACGAGCGCATGAGTGTTTCTGGCGACTAATCGTGACTGCAGCCGCGTGGTGAAGTGCGGTGGCATTACAAAAGTCCACAGAGTCTACCGTCTCGATTAAATCTCTCACAACCCCTGGCATAGTCTTTTTGTCCTGGCAGTTCACAAATTGAACACATCGCATTAACGGTGTCTCACCACGACAATTTTGAAAGCCTAATGTCGCACCGTAATGCTTCAATTCGTTGATAATCTGAACATCTCCCATAGCAGCTGCCCAATGTAAGGCAGTGTGTCCCTCATTGTCTATGATCCAATCAGGATTGAAGTTGAAGGGAGGTTCAGGTTTGACGTGCCCAACAGAGTCACTGGACAGCATAAAGTAATCAAGAAGTTCATCGGAATAGAGAATGTGAGCTTGCTCATGAGGGCTGATGGTTGCTCTCTTACGTTTCCCATATCCAGTCGAATTTGGAGCTACTTCATATCGTTCGTCATCCAAGTCCATGAAAGATGCGACAGTAGTGTCATCTGCAACACTCTCATTTTCTAACTGAGTGCTTATATTTTCATATTCATCATCAAGATTCCTACTCGGAGCAGGCAGTGTTCCTATGATTTTAGTACTATGTGAGACAAGATAGGAATCGCTTACTATTGTTGGTTTTAGAAACTGCGGTCCGTCTACTGGCCTTGGGCTTTGCGGTCGAGTGTTTAGGAGCTGCAGGTGGACTCTCGTCACCAGGCGTGTATTCAAATATAGGGCGCAGCCTTTCGAAAATATTATTTCTTTGAGCTAAGGCCTCTCCCTGTTCTAGTGGGACCCAAGTACCTTGAGAGCGTGAGATGAATTACAGCCACCATGGTCCGACGCACCTTGATATTTTCCATATCCTCCCTGAATCTTTTCGTGCTTCTCTTTTTGCACCTCTCGCTCTAAAATTCTCGTTCGCGTGGGCTTGTCAAGGCCAGCAGCTTTTAGTATGTGTGTGGCATTGATCCAGTTGTCTCCTCGTCGTCGCATGACTGGTACTAGAATTTAGCAAATTCTACAACATAAGGTAGTAAGTTACTAACCATGTTCTTTGAGGCCTTCACCGAATTGAAATTCATAAACAGGTATCTATATGCTATCAATATCTTGGATGAATGTTGTGATAGAGGTATTTACATTACTGTATGTCGCCGAATATACTCTGGAAGCGATTGACTTGGCCATCATCAACCTCAAAATCCCAACGACGACGCTGAGAACTGTTATACCGCGTAATGGTGATGCTTACGCGAGACTCAAAGCGCGCTGATCGCGTGTGACTGAATGTTTTCTGAATAGACTAGCGACTAAGGATCGAGACAGACACGAGTTTGAACTGATCAAATTGATGAGTAATCTCTCGAACTCTACAACGTCTGAAGCCAATTGATGTCAACAATTGTAATAAGTCGAAATTTTCACAGCCCGCATGAAGTACTCACCCGTGAGGAATATTCGTAGAACTGTATGATAAATTCTCTGTCAAACTCAAGACGTGATTTTTATGTACCCCTCACCTTTGTCTCTTAATCACAATTTCTGCTCTCCACAAAAGTTGTACAAAAAGGCTAAACGTCAGGATTTATTTATGAAGCAATAATTAATCTGGTGCCAATCATTTTCGACGTTATGATATCAGACAACTTGTTGATAGAGGTTATTTTATTCAAACGATCTCATGTTTTCAAGTAGGTGATGAATTTAATTAGTATGGGTTAGCCGCCTCGGAGTTATCGTAATTATCATTGGTGCAGATTGCTACACACACTTAAATGAACGCAGCGTATATTCCCCCTTCCAAAACTAGGACCAAGAATTCCCGCGGGTTTGACCACGTGCCAAAATTCATAAGAAAAACGAGGTTGGCCCAAGGCACCAAATTTCACGAGTACCTATAACGCCAATTAAAACACACCGACCGGCTTAGATTCCCGACTCGAACGCATTCCGCATGTGAGTTGTGCTTGGTATACCCTCATTTTAGTGGCCATATTCATCAAATCAGTCTCTAGCCTTAACTACTCACCAGGTGCACGCCCCCGGAGCTATGAGTATCTAAAGCGAGAGCAAGACTGAACACCTTTATGCGGTGCCTTCTACGAAACTGGGAGAGGGATAATCCCCCAGAGTCCAGTTCAGTCAAATTTCGTAATATCGAACAAGTTGGCCCACGAGACAATGATTCAAAATACTCCATCACGTCAAATTTTCACTTCCTACAAGTTCGATTCCTACCTAAGTCTCATCAAGTCTACAAGTACGATCCAGTACATCCTCATTCAGATGACCACACCTCTTGCCGACTTTCTCTGGCCTCAGTTGGTCGCCAAATACAAGCCCACGCCGATATTTACACCCAACAGAGGAAGCAAAGCATAGCGCACAAATTTGGAAGACTGTTCTTTAGGCTGGGCGTGAGAAGAACCAGGACAAGTTCAAAAGATGATGCAGAGGATGGATATAGTCTCAACGGGCGTGAAATTCCGAATTTTGGCAAGGAGATTTTACAAATTGATCTTTGTGCGCGCCAAGACTTCGCTTGCGAGAATGCAGCTGACATTATAAACACCGCTGTGGTTGGATGGTGCGGTGGTACATCATCTGGGCCGATCTCCCAAGTAGAGTCTGGATAACTAGCATACATATCCCACACAAGTCGGAAGATCGCTGTTTCGAATCCGGCAAAACACCACTACACATGTCGCAGTGCAAGCTAACATGGATGACGAAAGCATGCTCGGATATTCAAAGGGTTTAAATTTCCCTTTGATGGGTACTCACGGAGGAGGGTTGACTGTTTTTGTAAGCAAATGGACCTCATAGTGGTATTTGCGAATGAAATCCAGCGGATGAGTGTCTCTAACGTCAAAAGAGTTATCCATCTTGTAAACATAGTACCGATCTTGTGTCATAGCAAGATAGCTTAATAAACATAAATTGATTTAATAAAAAAGAGTATCTAAAGGAGTCCTCCAATCGCAGGGGAAAAATAAAATGGTGCAGAAACTTAAAAAAAATAGACTTTGAAAGAGAAATGACTGACAGATACATTCTCAAGAGTGAAGGCGCTTAAAATTTAGGGTGTCGTTTCAATAACTGGAAGCACTGAGCATACCACGACTTGCTCCAATATAGCACTTTACACTGTACACGCGATATTCTTTGAATAGTTCAAAAGTAAACCGACCACATTGGTCTCAAGTAGAGACTTGTATCCTGGACCTTGACCCTTCTTGAGACTACGGAACTTTTTTTTATTGCATCAGATTTTAGTTACGTATGCGACTATCTAGCTATGACATAATATCTGAGAAACGGTATAGAAAAGATATCTTGATATACAAGAAGAGCACCCATGCCTTGGATTTCATTTGCAAGTACCACTGTGAAGTTGTGGTGGCTTTTTCTTCACCCCAAGTCGACCCTCATCCGTGAATACCCACCCAGGGAAACGTCTCAAAAACCCTGAGTTATCCAGACATGCCTCCATCATCTTTCAACTTTTCTCCGCGCGAAATATGATCTGAGATATCTCCTTCACAAGCGGAGTAGGTGCCCAGGCTACTCAGACTATACCAGTGAACACCACCAGGAGGCGGACCACAACAGCTTCCATCATTTGCTAGTTTTTATAGTGTCAGCAACACTCTCGCAGTCGAAGGCTTGACGCCCACAATGCTCTTCAATTTGTAAAAAATTGCCAAAATTCGGAATCTCACTCCCTTCGAGGCTAAATCCTTCCGTCGCATGATCTTGTAAACTTGTCCTAATCTCTCTCACGTCCATCCTAAAGAAATTTCTCCCAGATTTGTGCGCCACGCTTTGCTTCCTCCGTTGGGTGTAAATATCGGCGTGGACGTGTATTTTTGACCAGCTGAGGCCACAGAAAGTCGACGAAAGATGTGGTGATTGAAATGAGGATGTACTTGGTCGTAATTGTAGATTTGATGAGACTTTGGTAGGAATCGATTTCGTTGGGAGTGAAAGTTTGACATGGTGGAGTATTTTGAATCATTGCCTCGTGGGCCAACTTGTTCGGTATTGCCAAATTTGACTGAACTTGGCTGTGGGAGAATACTTCACTCCCAGGTCCGTAGAGAACGCCACGTAAAGGTGTTTGATCTTTCACTCCGAGACTATAGATCATTGATTAGGTTTCTTTAATCTGATTTTGTCTCTCTTGATGCTCGTGTGCAAGGACGATGAAAGCTCATTTGGAAATGAGAAGTCTATGAAACATCCATTCGATAGCTGCCTGCGGATGAGTTAATTTGGTTACGAGAGGGATGATGTACACATCACAGATCACTGGTCTGATGCGCTTGGCGCTGCTAAAGAGGAAAATTATTAAATAAACTAACTATTAAATTATCCTGATTTGGCGCCTTGAGGCCCATGCAGGTTTTTATCGGAAGATATGTGCTTTCAAGTAGGACGAGTCAATCTGACTTTTAGAACACTCACACTCAAATTTCATTAGCAGATACCACTCGAGGCTAACCCTCACGGCGTATAGCTGCTTCCGCGAATACCCAGCACAGAGGAAAGCGTAAAACACCTATGATAATCCTATTGTGCTTTCATCATCCCACAAATACAATGTCACTGCGAGAAAGAGTGGTGTATGAGTTTCATTGGATTCGAACCAGCTTTCTCCTGTCCCGAATGGGTTAGGTATTCAAGCTATTCAGAATCTATTTGGGAGAACGGCCCGAATGTTGTACCACTGCACCATCCAGCCTAGAGGAAGATAATACATGGTAGAGTAAGACCGTCCGTCTGTTTTCAAACTCAGATTAATGCCTCATTACATTTCTAGATTCTATAGACATTATCACTCAGAGCATTTTGGATAGAGAATTATTATTCTTCATTTATAGCTTTCACACGAACACTAGAATAGTCCTCGTATCTCGATTCATTCTGTAACATTTTGAAGAAATTTCTATAGATGCTACATAAAAATTTGTTTGCTGTTCATAAGCTTTCGTGTATATCTTCTACAATTTATGAATGCTATTAGGGTTGAGCTAATCTCAGACTGGCATGAAATCATTTCGTGATATCACGACACGAGGGTCTACCATCCTATGTAAATAAATATATTTGGTTCGATGATTACTGTGCTATTCAATTCCATGACTATGTAGCACGTTGGGTTTTTTTCTGAGCCAGGCCACACCTTGTACAGTGCTCCCATTCTCTTTTGTTGCTTGTAAGATCATTGACATATTGCCCGTGATGAATAGCTAGTCAGCTCAGTGTTTAGCCGTGGAATTCGGCCACATTTTCCACAGATCCTTCTACCCAAAAAAATAATATGATAGCAATGGAATCTGCGTGCGCGGGATAAAGTCTCAAAAAACCTGCAGCCCCAGCCTGGCGAGGCCTAGACACCGGGACCACACGAGGTGCGCATATTCATCGATATCTCCCTTCTTTGTAACAGTCGAGGCCGACTTGATCCAATCCACCATCTCCGTATCGGGTGCTGGGTACGCTCCGGAAACTCATCGGATGGCTTTTCCTCCATGATCAAGGTTTGGTGATGAGTAGAGCTTCGACCATAACATCTGATCTGATCGTGGTTAGCTTCATGATAATGGTGATAGGGGGATGAGTTGAGAGATGAAGACGTTACAGACCGCGAAATCGATAGGGAATCCTCGTCGAAATGAGGACTTTGTTACTAAATCTCGGCTCTGCAGACTCTACGATGAGAGCTGGAGGTGCGTAGGGAACACCACTGACAGGTGTTGAGAATAGTCCCCCAATTGCTCTTAGTGATCATACCTACAAATCTAGACATTCATACATACTAAAACTAGATTTCCAATAATTTTTCAAGTCATGTTGGGCGTTTGATGCTGCTGAGCTAGATTGAAGCTCAATTTGTTCTGTATATAAGCTGTCTAATGGCGCTCTTGTCGCCCCCATCCGGGTAGTCGTCAGGTGTAATCTCATTCACTGCGGGCGCCAGGTGCCTCGCTACCTGTGAAAAAAGCGAGAGGTTGGCTTCTAGTCAGTGCGCCGTCGTAGACGCCTGGACACTGCGCGTATGAAGCTGGTTTGCGCTGCGGCGTCGATTTCACGAGTCTTGTGGCTCGAGGGTTCCATTGGGTATCTCGCAGCCCACTCACACAGGGGAGTGGCCTCCTGCAACAATTTACGCACGCGAGTGGCCAATC